GTCAAATATAAATACGTATATTAAAATAGTGAATTTTAGATGTTTTCAAGTTAACAATCTTTCAGCAATGTTTCATGGAAAATTATAAATGAACATTTCGCGATTGTCGTAATTCTATGCGCATTTAATGATTGAATTGACAGATGAATGAAAAAATCATTTGTTTGAATAATACGATATGGTAAATCGTTTTTTCTTCAAAGTTTCTTTCGAAGAAAGCTACTTTAATTTACATTTACGTTTACTTAAACAAATGATTATTATTCGAGAAAATCAAATTCACCGTGAGCGAACGCCAGAAGGCTCAGGAGACACACAATTTTCAACGCCATTGTTTGATCACTAACTGAAGCTTGGTGTGAAATCGTGAATTTATATACACCTATTTTTAATTACGTTACCCCTCCTTTTATATTAATAATCCAATGATCGACAAGTTTTCTTAGGAAATCTAGATTAGATAAATAAGTTATGAAATAACATATTGAAGATTACAGATAGTATTGCAGCGATCAAATCGTCTTCATAAGCACATGATAATGTATCACTTGAGTTTTATTCAAAATGTTCTAATTCGAGTCATTGGAATTTCAGGTGTATTGATCGATTTTATCTCTTTTTATTGAAGATTTATTGAAGATAAAGCTAAGATTATGTTTATTTAGTCATCACGTCGTATTTGTAAGTGTTTTTAAATAATTTTATAGTATTTTTTATGATTTTTTATTTACAATATCTTTGGCAAATGCAGCTGTCAAGATTGGATGTGAGCTTTAACATTTTTTATTTAGACTAGCCTAGATAATTTGTAATATAATTAAGAAAAGACATTATAATTATTGCAATCTCTTTTTATTTATAATATCTTTCTTATCGCTCGGCGATAAGAGAGTAATTATCATCGTTCTATCGACCCCTATTTCACTAATGTATAACAAAGATTTGGGTTTTTCCGACAATCTCTTAATCTTTCACGATGAATCTCTCACATGGCTCTTTGACGCGATTAAATCGTTCTTTGAAAGGAATATCATAGTTCTTTGATCGACACGATAGCATATCGTTTTTCCACTTTTTATAACTTATCATTTAATGAAGCACATAATGAGCCAATTCTTTGTAATTCACTAGACAATATTTCTCGTTCGCGGAATAAGTCCACTGATTATCACTCGCTAACTTGTTCGCAAACAACTTACTGCTCAGATTAGATACAGGAAGCTATTATAATATTGTCATTTTTTTTATTATCTTTATTTCTTTGTTTCTTAAAAAGAATAGTTTTGTTGTCAGATACAATATAATATTTAGTATTATGTTAAATTATATGTAAATAGAACGTTACAAGAGTTTGATAATAGAGTTTACATTAACGTAACTGTATTAAGAAAAAATTGTCTCGATAGTTGACATTGCGAGATAATAGATTTGTTGAAAGTCGAAAATGCTAAGCCACGCCGCATTAAAAACTTTAATAGCAGCCTATTAAAAGTTCCATGCTCGCGGCACTAATTTCAATGGAAAGTTCCACGAGCGAGAAGTTTTCGGTCATTCTTGTAAGCCCGCGAATTTTTATCAGAAAATCCTGTCTGACCGTCGAACGGACAAGTGAGAGACAATCGATCGCAATTCCACAGGATGGCTGCGGGCTGACAGAGTTTCGGGATTCATCCACGATCAACTTGTGACCCGACCAGTGTAATCGATCCAACTGATCGGATGATCAAAGCTTCGTCGATCGAGATCACTGGTACTCCGCGTGCATGAACTCTCAATCGCGCTTGTCTATCCTTTACTGAACTTCCTGGTTGCACGCGGAAGCTCCAAATAAATTTACAACTCATACATGGAATTAGTTATTAACTCTCAAGCGAATTTATGGCAATGAACGCCGTGCGTTTGTAATCGTCGCGCATTTTATCATTGATACAAAAAATCGCAGAAACGAAAAAATTAAATTAAAAAATTTGACATTTAAATCTCGTTATTTTCACTATATTTCTGACACATAATATTTTTATTGTTGGGTTACGAACGCTTGTTTGTTTTGTACAATCTGTATGCGGCACCGACGAAAATATTTATCTGATTTTAATATTGTATTTATCAATGTGTTATCTGGACAGTGTGTTATGCAGATATTCAGCCGACTGTGATAATAGTAACGCTAACGCTTGACAAAAATATTTTGGTGCAAAATAAATATGCCAGCAAATAATTCTCTTTGTAATGCGTGCTTAATATATGTGATCTATCGGATAAATAAAAAACTATAAGCTTCTTAATTACACATACTTTAGATAGCTTAAATCGGTAGATTTCGCACTTGTGGTAGTAAATACTATTTAATTGGGCCATCTTATCAGCTATTAAGTGTTTTATGAAAACCGTTTGCTAACAAAAGTGTCGCGATAGTAAAGTATAGGTAAAGTGTTCTCATTTCAATGATAGGCAGGCGCGTAAAATGGACGAAGTGAAACAGACGAACTTATATCATTGCTCTGCAGAGTATTTTTAAGCTTTGCATTCAAATCTCCATTTCGCAAATTCGCTCGTTGGGCGCGCATTACGAGCGCATATTGTTCGCACGGGGGAATCTATTTCCTTACGTACGGTGAAGTTTGCTGTCGCATGTTTTATTCAGGAGTCCCTTTTAGAATATCGGTTGTTGCAAAACTGCAAATGGAATAAAAGGTTCAAAGGTTGTCCGGGAACAACAGGCGCTTCTCGCGCGCGAGCGCTCGTGAGAATCCGAGAGAACACGGTATTTCCTTCCACGCGTAAAATTGGCAAGATTTTCAAACAAAGCGAGCGCTTTTAAAGAGAGGAAGGATTTATGAGAAGTGATATTAAAGTATGCATTTTCTCGGCTATTATTTATGCGAAGAGAAGCGTGTATAATTTGTATTATAGGACGATTATCATTAACCTGATGTCGTTTTGCCGCATTCACGCTTTATGTAGCGTGTACATATCTAATGTTATGTGTTTTACATTCTCGTTGATCTTATTTACGAGTTGTTCTGAATAGATTCCTATAGAGAAATTAATACAGTGAATTTTGTGTCCTACAAATTGCTGAAAATTTATTTATTTATTTTTACAATCAACTTTATTTAATTTCATTTACTTATTTCTCTGTGTTCAAGAATGATTTCAATATAACTCGCTATTGCAAATCTACGCACGACTTAAATGAGGTCAGTGGTAGCGATTACATTGTGGCTAACGACGAAGTAAATACGCTTATCAAATCGTCAGGACGCCGCGTCATCGGCGTTATTCCGCGATTTTCTTAACAATTGCACGATTTATTGAGGTACGTTGAACTGCCGACAATGCCGTCGCTGGAGCGATCGTCGGAAACGGTTGAATGAGCACGCTTCTCCTCTCTCTTGCTTGTCCTCGGGAAAAATAGTTGCCGCGGCTACATATTACAACGCCATGCGCATGACCCCGCTGATGCGATAAAAGAGCATCGATTGCCAGTTTGCGTAAAATCTCGAATCCGCGTCTGTGTGTGGATATACATGACGTCGCTTATTAACGCCCAGCCTCGCACTCGTATAGGTTCATTCGTACGACTTTGATATGGGTTCGCGTTTGCGCTCTCTTTCTCTCCATTTTACTCCATTCTCTCTCTCTCTTTCTTTCGGGCACGACGGCTGAGATCGATTTTATCTTTCAAAGAAGAAAGCTTTATCTCACAGAGAAAATAGAAAAGATATGAGACGCCTCTCATAGTCGCGATAAGTTTAAGCGATGGTAAACGCACGCGGGCAACCGAATTGCTTCTGTGCGTTTTTAGTGTGAAAATGCAAAGCGCGATTTTATCTGAAATTAATAACGTCATATAAATATATTTGCATATAAATGATTTGCCGAAACAACAACATTTATTTAAAGTGCAATTTTTTACAATTCAATTAAAATTGTATATTTTGTATTTTGATATTATATATATTGATAGAGCTCTCAAATTTATTGATCAATATACCGCACCGTTTAAAAACGCATGCGTTATTGATTCGTCGAAATTGCTAGCGGCGGAAATATATAGAGTTATAGATGAGTTACATCGCCTCTCTCGGAATGATAATTGAGTCTGTTGATTTGACCAATAGACGATCGATAAATTTATAGCGTTTGCCGCAGCTGTACAATATGTTTGTTGAACTAATAAAATAATCTCTCTCTCTCTCTCTCTATCTCTCTCTCAAAACGCAGTGGCACGTGCAAACGGAAGATTGTTTCAGATCAACAAGTATTTCCTCGTGCATAAACTGCATCAGCAGATTTCGCTTGTGCCCAACGTATCGTAAACGGTTTATGTCAACGGTGAATTGTGTCACCATGATAATGCGCAATATTAAAGTTATGCCCGTGTTACGCACGTGTGCGCGAACGTGTTACTACTGCATGAATACGGAATAAACAACAAACGTTTCTTATACATGATCTACAATGGACAGTAAACTGTAAGTCATAAGCCATAAGAAATTGATCAATCACAGTCAATTATTCTCTTCAGATTCGATTGTAATCGGTTTTCTTACGGCTTACAGCCTACTGCTACTGCACATTGTGGACCACGTTATATTATATCCACGCGAAAATATTACGAAACGTTAATCGTGGTACCGCTGTAATGTCGCGTAACGCCTCTGTAATTAGTCAAGTGCAAATTACGGCTGGCGCGTTCATGGCAAGTTAGCAGCGCTACTAGGGGTAAGTTAATTATCGTCGGAGGCGGCGGAGCCTTGACGATTATATGAATAATCATGATCGTGTGTGAGCGCAGCGCAACTAATTATAGGCAAAATACGGCTGTGAAGTATATGACGTTGTCTAATGGCTTTATACTGATGACTTTATCTAATAACGTTACTTAGGGTGTTATTCACTCTGTAGCACTTAATTTTCCTTACGGCGAGATTTAATTCCGCGAAATAAATGCGGAAACGAAAGATAATTTAGACAACTTACTCTGTCGTTCTTACTTATCTTAGATGACCATTTCTGTTAGAGATGCGTTTATTTAAAAAAGATCATTTTAAATATTTTCATTACTGTATATATTATATTCTTTTTTACTTACGCAATTTACGGACATTTATGTATAAATTTTTTTGTATAATTTCTAATTTAAATTTAACATCAGATAGAATTTTTTGTACTCTCTAGGAATCATTTCTCGCCAATTTTGATACATCTTACATTAGATATTTACAAGTATTTTTTAAATTTATAAATTATAGATGTATAAAAAAAAATATATATATGCTAATAAACTGGTAGGAAAATGTCTATAGTAGATTTTTTGGAACTAGAAGATCTAACGATTAGTGAAAATTGTAAAGCAAGCATATTTGTAACACGAATTAACAATGCAAATGTGCTTGTATTACAAATTTGTTGCTTAAATTATTACTGACTTCTGACACGAAACTGATCTCCGTGCGCATCTATAGCTTTATCATATTAGTTCACAATCAGTTTAATAAGATATAACTTACTCTAGCACGTTTTGTTCGCGCAAGACAAGAAAATTAGCGTCGGCGGCGCATTCATTGTGATGGAATAAAATAGAAAGAAAAACATGAATGTAACCTAATACACTCGGTACGCTTGCGTGAATTGGCGATCGTCAGTCCGTTACGAATAATGAATACCAATTGAATTTATACGGCGTTCTCCTTGATCCAGTCGATATACGAGGGTACGCGAGTGTACACGGTCGGATAGTCCGTAAGGGAACAAGCTTTCGCCCATGATACGAGTCCGACAAGTTTTCCATTAACGATCAAGGGCCCGCCCGAGTCACCCTGCAAAAGAAGATTAAAATGTTTTCCATTCAAACAAGAAAAAAAAAGAAGAACGACTCGCGCATGCATAAAAACTTTAAAGCTCGCGTGACGCTTATAAAGCGATATACAGCTTTCGCAACTGTTGCGCTCTCTCTCTTAATTCTTCGTATGTGATACATTTCGCGGAGAGTATTATAGTCATTCAATTATTTTTCGTAGTTGTTTAGCCTGTCTTTTCTCTTACATTTAATTTCTATCTTACAATTGTGCTAAGAATTAAATTTAATCAATTAATTTACGAGAGATATCGTAATCTAAAAGATTACGATACGTTCGCAGCACTTACATTGCAAGACCCTCGTCTGACGTCCGGATCGTTGGCACAAATATGAGTATCGTAAATATTGTATAGAATCTGGCCATACATTTCCTTACAATAATCCTGTTTCGCTATGTAAATGGTAGCCTTTTTCAAGAAATTAGATCCGGGTCCGTCCTCCTATAATTTGTACGAGCGTAGACGTTAGAATTATCGCTGCTCTCGCAAATATATCTGTGAAAATCGCTGCAACAGCAAACGATATATCGTGCGGAATTTGTGCTGCGCTTACCGATAATCTTCCAAATCCGGAGACTCTGGCCATCGCCCCTTCCTGAACAATCTCATTTTGCTCGGGCAGCGTTACGAATCCGACGGTATTCGACGGACTAAAAGGAGTAAATACCTAAAAAAATAAAATCTCGCGTCAATAATGAGAGCCAATAGCACGGAGACTTGAAGGAGAATCGATTGAATCGATGGACGATTTACCCTAATCAATGCGATGTCATTAAGCCATGAATTACGAGGATCATATTGTTCATGACGAATAATCTCTTTAATCGCATGTGTCACACCTGGGCGATTTAGGTTCACAGTACCGACGACGAGTTGCATGTCCTTGGGAAGCAAGCTGTAGAAATAATGGAATAATTGGAATTTCGAAATATTAATTTATTAGCACTCGTTTTAAAGTCGCAAACTCTGATATTTTATACACATGCAGAGGCATATCTTACTGTAAGACCTACTTACTCTTCGACGCAGTGAGCAGCGGTAACAACGAAAATTGGATTAATGATAGCTCCGCCACAAAAATGAAAACTACTTCTTAACTGCTGCAGGGAGACCTGGAAAATAATTCGTTATTTGATGTATAGATATCGATCGAAAAATTCTTTTTTCTATATCTTCAAGCACTTGACAAATAAAACTTGTATATATAAAACGGCATATCTGTATCATTGTTTGAGAGATTTGAAACTAGATTTTGTGACACAAGAAAATAATTTTATTTAAATTGATAGATTTGAGGCACAACTCACCTGATACGGTATTTCACCCGGCTCTACATACTCACCGTTTATGATACGCGGATCGAACTTTTGCAGTACGGAAGCTGTCAACATAATATTATAAACACAATATTAAGTTTACTTGAGCTAAAATTTGATTAAAGAGTATACTTTCATGCATTTGAATGAACACATCGTCATTTTATTCAAAAGTTTCTTATGCTTCTGTTCCAGATTCATTTCTGTTGTCACACGAATATACAAAGTATTTTTGTTATTTAATTCACTTTATTCAACGATAATTTAATTGGTGAAAACTTGCTCTCGTAAGGATTCAAAACAGTATCAATTCGTTACTTACCACTTATCAAAATCACTTGTCAGAAACTAAACAGTATATTTATATTTCACTCATGCATAATTTACCATGTAGATAATTTCTTTTATATTAAATTTGCGATCTTATATTGACATTAATTTTACTCACACTGGGAGATAGACGCCACACCAAGAACAATCAATAAAACTGAGGATAACATCTTAGACGTTAGCAATTACATTTGATCAAACTGAACACTGAATTAATTTATATACTTCTTTGATGATAAGTGACACATGTGCTAGTCGGTTGTTGAGTGACAAGTGATTTTTCTCTTTTAGATTAGATAAGTAATTTAATTACCTTAATTGCTTCTTATTTCTTTTATTGACTGTTCTTGTTTACTCACGTGTTTTACTCACGTCAAACAGACGCGCAATGTCAAATTTAAAAAGTTCTTTGATAATAAATCTCTAAGACATGGCTAATTTCACACATTTAAATTTTGATCGAAAAAAATAACTTAAGAAACAACTGAAAAATAAAACTAAAATAGTTTGCCTTGATATAAATAAATAAATAATTTTTTGATTAACAATAAAATATTTTCTGTATGTGTTTGAGTTTATATGTTAAGCATAAATTATTTTGGAGGTGTATTTATGAACAAATATATATATTTTATGTGAATATTTTTTTTCCTAACATTTTGCAATTAAATTTAAGAATAGTAGAATACTAATTAAAATAAATTATAACTATTAAATTAAATTTTTTAAATAATTTTAATGACAAATTGTTTTTTTAATTAAATTTTAATTTCCAATAATTCTTTTCGCAAGATGTGCGTATAATTAATATACATTTCAATAAATCTCAATCATCTGTCGGATGATTGAATCGTATGTATGATGAATGTCGGGTGTGAATTGTACGGACTCTGAACAGCTTATCATTTTGATTGACCGATGATTATATATTGCGCGAAAATCTTTAAGCTGAAAATACATTCTATTGTTAAATTATCATGATTCCATCACAAAGATATTACCACATCTCTACTACGTTTGTTTCATGCGCATTTCGTGAAAATAGCTGATAACTTCGATGATACCGAAAAGATTGAAGCGATATAGAGAATGGAATTTTTATATAACTTCATAGATTGAACTCATTTTTGTTCAGTATTCAATGTCAGTGCGATAAGGAAACGTTTATTTCTTGGAATTGCTTATCAGTTGTAAACTTACTTGACAGAAATAATGTCGGGACCACCGTCCAGTGCTGACTTTATCCTCGCGCAGATTAATTTTGCACGTAGAACTAAAACCATTTTCACCCACACGTTGCGAAAATTACTTGCTCGCCTTCCTTTGTAACAGCAGATAATTTATATTAATCTCTCATAAATCCGCCGTGTAGATTTTGCATTAAAAATGCCGACACAGTTCCGAGTGTTGCGAAATAGTGCCTGTTGAGAAATCCCGTATTTTCTGTCGCCGCATCCATCATTCTAAGACGAGCGAATTGTGCGCTGCTTTTTTTTTAATCCAATTAGGATGAAGTAGCCGTCAGTCAATGTGGCGTATCCCCGGGGGCGTCATAACTCATTAGGAAGGCACCTGGTTGAGTGACCTCTCGATCGATAGACAGGACAGATGCGAAACTGCATCCAAGACGACGCTGGCTCGGCTCCAGATACTTCGGGAAGTCTTGTACGTGCTGATAATGCTACAGAGACATCATCTTTTTCTTTCACGATGCGAGCTAAGCACGCCCGCTTTTAAGCGGTCAGGTGATGTCCTGAATAATGCAGCCCTAATTTGGACCCTTTAAATCTCGGAGTTTGGCCAGATCTCCCTTAACGTGCAGAAATACGAAATTGTTGCGATAGGCAATGTAAATATAGACGATACTAATGCGACGTGTAAACAGTAACTTTTATTTAACACATTGTTATTCGTCGTGTATATCGACACCGGTAGTCGAGTATCCAGTTTTTTGAAATTTTTCGCGAGAAAGAAAATGATATTTATCGGAAAACTCGTTTCGCGCTGGTCGTACATTTCGAGTGCATATAACACGTGATATAAATGAAAATATCCCCGAAAAATTTTCTCTATGCAACGAGCGAATTCGTACACGTAGCCACTCTGTCGAGGATTTCATTGCGCTGCCGCAACATGACTTCATCAAAACCGACCGGGATGAAGCTAATGCATACGTGCGTTCGTTGATATTTGAGAAACCGTGTAAATTTATATTTCTCATTTCGCGATATTCAAAAAGAGGACTCCTTTCGAAACGGGAAAACGGGTGCGCCAACTGTTATTCGACGCGCGGAGCAAATGCACGCAAGAAGAATTTAACGTATGACAATCACGTCACGGTTGGAAGATTATCGGAGGGATGGAACGCCGAAGTAAGTTTCATGATGAGCCGAATGCTCGAGCTTTAAGGAGACGCGGAAGTTTTCCCTCAAGTTTCTTCAAGCATTCGTACACTTCATTCCGAAGTACCGCTCCGCAATGTCGCCACTGGATTCAGTTGTGGAAGCGCCATCCTTCTTTATCACGGAATCTTGACAGACAGCCGCGCGGGACATGCCTGGCTTCTCCCAAGGTAGGGGTCGATCGATTCTCCCTACCTAATGAAATGCAAGTCCGGCTTATGACGGCTTGAAATCGAACCGTCGAATATATACGAAGATAACGACGTCACTTGACGTATGATCGAGTACGATAGTACTCGAAGCGATGTATTGAGATTCGTTAATTTCCAAAACGAGCGGGATGTCGTTGTTTTAAATAAAACTCCTAATTTTACTGTTAAAAATAACAGGCTATACAAAGATCGAAACGTGACGACGTGATCGATAGTTTTGCATTTTTCGATGTGACCCGGACGTACTATTATCGTAATACCCTGCGGGGTGCAGTAGGGGAGGTAGGGGGAGGTCGATCGATTCTGGCGACCAAGAAGCGATATTGAGAACCGCTGTTCCAGGACTCACCTGCGTCCGACGACCCCGCATCCGGAGCTTCTCATCGATCATACATAGGTAGTGAAATAGTCTGTTTCACGAGTCTGTTCTCGGTTTGTTGATGCGCGCAATTGTCGAACTGCTCAGAATCCTCCAACTATTCAGATCCTGCGAAAATGAACGCCGCAATGAACGTACGAATAGCTTCGCTGAGCGTCAGTTAGACAAGCGTTATTTGAGAGGAGAAGATTTCCATGCGTAAATGGATGCTGATTATGAAACAGGCTCATGTATAAATGCTAATTACGTACTCCTGAGATATATATTTGCCATTAAGCAATACCACATCGGCACATTTGAAGAATTTCTTTACGAAAAATCGTATTGCTTCTTCAAGAATACATCAGATTACTTAAACTACTTTTTTTCTTAATTTATAAGAAGAAGAAGCAAAATTACGGTTAAATAATTATTATGAGATATATGCAATTTATTGTATCTTTGTAACGCAACATTTGGACGAATTCAACGAGAAACGTTATTTTTCCCAAAAATACATTTGCTAATGCATAATAAGAGGCAGAATTGCGGTCGGTGAAACAAACTTATTACGAGGTATATGTAATGTATATCTTTGTAATGCATTTAGGAGAATTAGAGTTCACTTAAATCTGAGAAAACAAGCTCGCGAATGCTTCCTGTGCCGTAATTCTTAACAATTATATGTAGCACCCGGGGGAGCAGCGTAGCGTGAACGGAGGCAGCGCAAGTTGCGCAAAGTTTACCGAAGGAAATACGGGGAATCGTAAAACCGTTTTCAGGGCTTACAATAATCGCGCGTTTTTCACGATAATTGCTCGATGCGACAGAATTATTATCTGCTGTATTTAATTGTCTCGCTCTCGTTTCCCATTCAATAATTTTATCCGTATCCGCGAGTTGTTCTCCGTTTTTCTCTCTTCTGTGCGTATTATGTAAGTATGCGAGAGCCCGGCGGAGTCAAATAACGCGGACGCCGGGCGTTTGCGATATCGCCTTGACGGCGTCGTAAAAGGAAAGAGCATCGGTGCGACTCGTCTCTCCGCAAACTACTTTCCTACTCAGTTTCAATCCGACGCCTCGCGACATCGAATTTCTTCGCGACAGCGATACATTAATCGACGCCTCGGGTTTTTCGTTTTTGGCAGAATTGACGAACTCGTTGACTCGAAATTCGCTTATTCGCGAACGGGGACAAACGTTTTTCTCCGGATTATTCATTGTCTGTCGTGGAAAATGGAAGAACACACATTATGCAAAATATATTTCAACGAACGCGTCAGAGTCCTCCGTTCGTATGACTTGCGGCGTCTATGCACCCGTGTATACGGGACGTAGAAATTAACGTCGGACAGAAACAAGGGGAAACAGATGCAAATGGTTCTTTCATCCATTTTTGAGAGTGAAATGTTCATTAATCTCTACGAAACAATTTCGCGCACTTGGCGCACGCTGCCGGAATGGTTAAACGGATTTGCTTTGACTGACCCACTTCTCCCTTTTGAGATACGTTCACCGCTAGCATATCGGCCGCAGAAATTATGAAATATGCAGGATACATATATATGTATATTGTATATATATTTTAGGTTGATCAGAAAGTCTTTTCGTATTTTACGAATTTAAATACGAAAAGTCTTTCTGAACAAAATAAGATATAATATATATATATAATAAGATTATATATAAATTTATATTCTCTTTTGTAATTGCAATATATTTATAATTCATTCGAATATATGTTTTCTTTAATCAAATTCTCGTTTGCTCGCTAAACTGAAAGTTACAAGGTATCAATACGTAAAATAATTGTGTGATATTTTGATAATATTAATTTTTACAAGATTAGGTATTATGATATTTGTTTTCTGGAACTGTGTAAGGAAAAAGGGCGCGTACGTAAGATATATAAAATACATATAATATACATTTAACGATTTATTACACCTATGTTTGGACATTTAATTTTATATATATTAATTCTCGATTCCACAATATACATATATATGTCATTAAGTATCAAAATCACTGTTTACATTATAGATCTTATATAATTAAAACAAATTTCTGTATTTCGTTAATTATAGTTTTCGATCATGCGTTCATATATCCAATTTATGTACGACGAAACGCGTGTGTACACGGTAGGGTAGCGTGTGCTGGCGCAACCATGCGCCCACGAAACGAGTCCTACGAGTTGTCCGTTGACAGTGAGAGGGCCGCCAGAATCACCCTGAAAAATACAATTCTCCGATAACTGACGATATATTCCATAAGTTTTGATTGAAAAAAAAACCAACTCGTAAACAATATTATTTTTTACAATTTACTATACGTTTCCCTGTCAGTGCAGAGTACATGTTATTTTCTTGCTTTATTATTTTAATTAAAATTGACGTTTGATAATAACGGACTCTTGATTCGCTCAGCTAACAAATTGTGCGATCTTGTCAATTAAATTAAATTACAAAACATAACGAGGTACCCCAAAATATGTTAATGCACAAAGTAATCAATGCAGTATATTAACAGTCAACATAATCAGTGAATGCGATGAATTAAAATGCGATGAATAGTAATTAAACGTTTTATGCGCATATATATATTGTTAAGTATTATTTTAATTAATTAATTAATAGAAAAGTTAGTTTTGATAAGCAAAAATTTATGATAAGTGAGGGTTTGCAGTCACAATATGTAACTCCGCAATATTGCCAATTACGCCAATTACATCGTGCTTATCTCTCTTCAATCGAAAATCTGACGCACGTTATGCAACTCGAAGTGCAAGCATTATACTAAGACGTTGTGTTTAGAAGTCATTAGGAACGATTAGGCGAGCTGAAGTCTCGCGTGAGAAGAATAACGCGGGCTGAGTAGTTAATGACTCTACCTGGGCAGACAGCGTAAAATTGCGACTAGTAACTAACGACGGCGGTGTATCGTAACGCCTTATGTAAATAACTTACCTGGCACGAACCCTTATTTTCGACTGGATCGTATGCGCAGATTTGCGTGTCGTAAACGTGTTGACTTTTCGCGTACTGTGTTTTACAATAGGTCTGATTGGCTATTAAAATGTCTACAACGTACAAGTCTGTGGTTCTCCTTCCATGCTTCTGCAAGTATAAGTATAAACGTGCACGTATGAAAGCAATTTGAGATGCGATTCTCGCTGACTTAGCATTCGAGAGTTTAAATGGTTGAATTATTAAGAGACTTTACCGATAATAAGCCGTATCCAGATACAACTGCTGGCGAACCTGGCTCGACAGGTTGATTTGGTTCCGGAAGATCGACGGCAGACACCAAATTGGTAAATGCAAATGGACTTTTGACCTGAAAAAAAAAAAATGAATTTTCCGTATATTCTTTTGTGTAGTCTTAATTTTTAAATTGTTAGCTTAATTTTCAATGTGATTGAAACTATATGCATTGCTATTAACGCACGACTAACTCGCTTTACCTCAATTAAAGCGATATCATTGCGCCATGAATCTGAAGGTCTGTATTCTTCGTGTAGATAAACGCGTTCGATTAGATGCACTGAATGCGGTTTTTGTACGTTTATTGTCCCCACATTTACCGAAATGTCCGAAATGTCTGCACTGTAAGGAATTATTACGTATAATAGAACATATTTTCGTATATATATATATATAAAATTTATATTTCTGAAATGTTCTTTTAGATTTTTATATTTACCCCTCTAGACAGTGAGCGGCGGTTAATACGTATAGCTCGTTAATTATAACTCCACCGCAGAAGTGATGCTCCTGCTTAATATTTTGAAGAGAAACCTGAAATAATGCATTTCGTACAATAGGGATGTAGAAATATCTCATATTATTATACACGTCCAGCTTAACAATCGATTCATTGTCAGCGTTCAATTGTCGAATGAAAGGAGTTAATTCATGACTCAATCAGACTCGGTTCGAGGCTGCGCATATTTTTAAAGCAGTTAACGCAACGATATTAATTAATAATAATTTATTAGCTTTTACCTGATATGGGATTTCACCTGGTCTGGCAAGTCTTCCATTCACAATCTTCGGAGATAATTTCATTGGTTTGGCTGCATCAATTGTTAATGTGTCGCCTGCAACATTTGTTATTACATTTACACATTTAGTTGAATTAATTTAAGCCACAAAGTCGATCAATTTGTCTATCAAAATACTCACCATGAGCAACAGCGAACAAAGGAATTAAGAACAATAACTGTATCGTCATTGTTAATAATCTTGTGCAACGTTGTCAGTCGATTATTCAAAATCTGGTGATAAATGCGTATGATACACGCGAAAATGTGTCTATAAAATTTAATTTTACACCGTTAAATCTATAGTGTCAAATTTAACTCTATGTGAGTCGCCAATGGTCCTACTTAATTATATAGTTATTTTTAAATAAAACAATGGAATTTAATCCAGATTCGGATTAAATTTGAACTATTTTAAATTATTTAACTCCATTGCTTTAGTTAAAGATAACTATATATTAAGTAGAAGTAGTGGCGTTTTAAATAGAATTCAATTTGACACTATAGATTTTACAGTGTAAATTACGTAAGATTAGATAAAATATCTTATATATTTAAAATAGCTATCAATCTTCTAGGATACTATTTCACGACCTATGTTGTCACATTTTGTGTTGACTTTTATCATTATAATAAAACACTGATAAGTGTCTATTATCGCAACTGTCTACGTTATATACATATATGATACATGTATCAACATAATTTTAAAGTTCATTATCTCAGTGATAATAATTTCGATAATAAAAAAAGATTTATTGTCTGCCGTTTCTTATCGTTAAAAATATGTGTTACATAATTCTGTACTTTAGTTGCCCCAAGCGTTCCCCAAGTCGCAACTTGGTAAATTTCAGTTTTAAGAGTTTTAATACTGTTATATATGAAGTATACTTCGCATCGCGCTGGATTACCGGGCTGAACGTGACACGCAGTACAGCAAGTTGAATGTAATGCTAAACAAACTTGTGACGTGGGAGTAACATAACAATGCACTTTGTCGAAGTTTACCGCGGTTACAAACTTCGGCAATATTGCGTAATCTATAATGAAGTATCATAAGAAGGATAGACTATTTGGAGCTACTCTGAGCGACGTTCGCTCGCACTCAGTGATCAGAGAGAGAATTGTATATCTGTGATGTTACTAATGTTAATCACGGACGTGAAAGATCGTTTGCTTCGTTCAACGTTTCTCGCGTCTGCGAAGACTTTGACGACATCGCGCAATTTATAATAAAGGCTTTCGAAGTCGAATTATACCTTGGCGCGATTCCGCACGACGGTCACTTATGTCGTCAACGCAGGAAGAAGTGTTTCGTTGATAATCGCGATATCGTTTACTTCACTCGAATAAGCGCTAATGACATTTTCTTCACCTTTTTGTAGCTGTCGAACAATAACAGCTGAAGAGAGGGGCTCCCCGAGCCATCGTTCGAATCGTATATTGATCATTGCAGAGTCAGGCAAACTCCATCAAGCTCGATCGAATTTCGCAGCGTAGCTTTTTTTTTCGCGCGGTGTGACATTCGGTTGCCATGCAACTTTATTTCCTAATTCGAATGCGAGAAAATTTTCAGATACAATCAATCTTTACAACGACAGCATATCCTTGTCGCGGCATGGAGATGCCCTTTGTCGGTTGAGCATCGAGTGACTCCGCATTCTCGTTAACCTTCGAATACTTCAGCTGGAGCACGGCGATCGGTTGCGAGATTTGTGGGTGGAGAGGACGGCGAGATCGTCCGTTTCGCTGTTACCCGTCATACCGCGATAGAGAAGCGAGCCGTTTGAATTTGCATGAGGTCGCGTGCTCCGACGACGAAGGGGAAGGGAAGAAGAGAGGCAGGAGAGAGAGAGAGAGAGAGA